TGGAACATGACCGATCCCCATACCAATCTTCCTAGCGTTTTCTCCACGAGTGCTAATGGCACTCTAGCGGATTTCTCAGAAAGAGTACTCAACGCCTCAAGCATAGCGGTCCTCTTGTCCTCAGGCAAGTGGACCATCTCAGAGCGCAGGTCCATCTGAAATCCTAGCACCCGCGGGGTCGAACTGCAGAGGAATTTCTCGTAGGCGGTATCGATGTCGAGAATCATATCGACCAGCGCCATCACCAGGACGGTATACTTTGCCATATTCCTTGTTGTGGGGCACCCTTTATCATCAATATATATCATCAGGCGATGAAAGACGTTAACACACCTCAATAGTCTGCTGATGATCTTTATATTATTGCCAGAGAACCGCACAAATAGTAATGGGGAGGATTCTCCTCCGAACGGCAGAGCTAGATGTCGATATCGCCTACCGTCCACTAGATTAGTAGCCCACCAAGTATCTTCGGGAGCCATCCTTATCAGTCTAAATGCGCCCCGGATATCGCCTTCCACCCAGAGCATTTCGCTCTCATCACCACGCGCACGAGCGAATCTCTGGCACCTCTGAGCTAGAGCCACTGCACTTCGCACCGTAGGCAATAAGAGGGTCTCTTTCAGGTGATTGTCAATAACCGAATTGACTCCATTTCTGCGCAAATCATCTATCACGCGTATTTTACGGAGGTTTCCCTCTCTATCGTACGATGGTACACAGCCGAGTTGACATGTCGCACGGATCTTGCCCTCCTCGGCTGGTGAGATCGGGACCATCCGGCCCAATTCAACCTCCTTCTCTAACGAGCTAGCAACCTCTTCCGCGAAGAGCTGTGCAGATGAGTAATTGTCCCATACTTCCCGTGTTATGGGGTACCGCCCATGTGGTGACAACCGTACTTTGGCCGGCCAGCATTTACTGATTGGTATATCGCTAGTGGTACCAAACGGCACGCCTTGATCCATAAGATCCAGATACTCGACATCCAAGACTTCCGAAGTTTCGCCTTGCATCAGTTCTAGTATCTTCTTCATCAAGGGAACACGGATATCACCGCCTGCTGCCCCTTTGCGTGCGCTAACCCCGAGCTTGTCAGCCCACCTCAGGCGTAACTTGACTGCGCTCGCACTTAGCTGCGGCTTCACTTTATCCCAGAAATCGCTTTCAAGCTGACCCTCACGACCCAGTGAGATCCACTCGTCTAGTTTCCTTCCCAGAGTCGACGCACAGAGCTGCTCCACCTCTTCCCGGAGCATTTCCCCTATAGACTCTATCTCCGACGTAGGATCCAATGGAGCATCACTGCACACTCCGGCCCCAATACCGCTCCCATCGACGAGCGCGTCAGCCTCATGTGCTTCGATATCGAAGCAGCTGTCCAAACCTTGGGTTGCCAAGGAGGTGCACAGGGGGCGAATGTTGCCACAATA